AAAAAAAAGTTAGCAGGTCTTATCTAACCAGTGGTTATCCTAGTGGCTGCTCATTTGAATTCTGTAAGAGATTTATAAAAATAACAAAACAAATTACTGTCTCATGAATGATTCTGATGCACATAGGTCCTGGCACCACATGTCGCTTACTTCCAACAGGGAGAAACTGGGCAGAGGATGCCTTCAAGTTAAACTGGGCAAGTCACTGGTAAAAGTGGTTACTTGTAGGAGTCCTGACCATTGATTTTTAATCAAATTGAGTGCAAATGGGGATTAAAGTAGAAGAGTTGTAGTTGTTAGGTGCCAATGAATCAATTACAACTTATACTGACTCTGTGAACAGCAAATCAAAATCAAAACAAATGAAAACTACCTCAAACCACACACATACAAACTCCCCTAACTTACTGCATTTGAGTCTAAACTGACTCAGAGCTGACCCTTCAGCAGGGTTTTGAGGACTATAAATTGTACAAGAGACTTCCCATCTTTCTTTCTCAGAGCCACTGGTGGATTTAAACTACCAGACAGGTGCTTCCTTTGGGTGAGCAATACAGCTCCGAGGGACTGCACCACCAGAGCTCCCAGAGCCAGTTAAATAAGTGTTGACTATTCTTCTCAGCCTACTTATCAAGGCACTGCTTCCTCATATCTTTAAGAGAGGTAACAAAGATCTACTCAATCAGTCAACATATATTTCTACTGAGTACTTACTTACATATGTCAGGCTCTATTTCAGGAGATGGGGATAAAGCAGTGGAAAGAGAACCCAAATTTCCTGCTCTCCTGCAGCTTATGGTTCAGAAGATCAAAACCCATCTCAGCAATGATCTTTCAAATGGCCCAATGTATAAGTAAACAGCCTTGGAGGCTAAAAGTTCAATTTGCCATTACTGGAGAACAGATAGGTTTATATGGTGTTGGAGAAGAGTAGTGAATATCCCACAGACTGCCAAAAAAATAAATAGATACATCCTGAAGAAAGTGCAGCCAAAGGGCTTCTTGGAGGTAAAGACGACAAAACTTCATCTCACACACTCTGGCTATGTTGCTAGGAGATGCTATTCCTTGGAGAAGGACATCATGCTTGGAACGGCGGGGGGACAGGAAAGGAGAGGAGGAACCTCAACAGGTGCACTGACAGAGTGACTACAGCAGTGGGCTTGAGTGTGTCAGAGGTTGTGAGGATGACGCAGGACAGGACGCAGTTCAGATCTGTTGTTGATGGGGGTCACTGAAAATCTTACTTGACAGCATCTAACAACAACAATCACAGCAGCAACAACTTGCAAGGTAAGCTTCTACAGTCAGTGCCGGCAAGATGGAATCTCTAATGGATAATGTCAATAAAAGATAAAGTTTGATGGCCGACAGTCAGAGCACCCACTTGCAACTCGAACTGACAGTAAGACCAACTTGCTCTGTTGCTGTATGGTTTTCTATAGCAATGCTCAGAGTTTACCCTGGGATGAGATTTTACTAGGTGTCCAGGATGGAACAATAGAGGGTCAAAGAAGCAGAAGTTATCTGTAAGAGAAAGGCTGGCACACCATGTAATTGAAACTTGATAATGGAAGAAATAAAGATAGGCAGAATAAAGAGATGGCAAAACAGCAGATATAAAGTAGGTTGGAGAGAGACACACAAATTGGGGCATCTTGGAAAAATAAAGCGCAAAGGCTGCATGAAAGGGAAAGAGGGTAGTAATAAAATTCTCTCACCCAATAAAATGTCAAAATCTTAAATCAATGAGGCATGGCGGAAAATACCATGTTTCAGAAACAATAGCTAGTTTAATAGAAAATTATAAACAATTTAAAATGCATTGGAGGAGACTATCTGAAATAACTGAAGTGTGTATAACATTAAAAACAAATGCTGACATGATTTACCTTTTAGTTTGGATAGCTGCACTCACATTTTTCTTAACATTTAGAGTCATTCCACAATGAAATGAAAAACATAGGAGCAAATAGTGAAGACAATAAGACACTGGGAAGAGAACTAGTGGAGTTAAAGGCAAAAGAGAGAAATACTATCATATACATGAGCCTGCAATGACAGAATGAAATAATCTAGGAGTGGGTACAGAGACAGATACACAAGCTGAACAGGTGTGGAGACTGGGACTATACCTACAAATACATACAGGTTTGACAAATAGTATTTATATATATATATACACACACACACACACATATATATATATATATATTTTTTTTTTAAATTTTTTTTTTTACATAAGCCACAAATAAAACAACAATCACGTAGATCATGAGTTCTGATGGAATAGTCTGTAGGGCTTTGCCTCTCTGCTGGGTCAAGTCCACCAGTGATTCCACATGAGAAAGATGAGCTTGCTTTTCCTGTGTGACATGTAGCCTCAGAGAGCCAATGCAGAGCACTCTGCCATGAGTTGGTACTCGAGAGCAACTAGTTTGAGTTTTTAACAGAACATAAAAGCAGCAAAGTTATGGAAAGTTCTTAGCCATAACCAAATAGCCTAAAGGAAGTGAGGCTGGGAATTCAGGATTATCGTCAACTGCCACAATGAAAATATTCCACATCCTACTTAGAAGAGTAGTGACTGGGGGCTGAAAAGCAAATGAGCAACTTGTGCGCTCACTTAGCCAGTGACATAAGCCTACCATTGGCAATCAGTTGAGTGGGTTTTCATCAAGTAGGTTTCTATATGCATTAAAACTATACTAGGTCACCCTTCTTCTCAGCAGCAGGAACTCCTGGGATGATCTGCACACTTAAATCTCAACTCTTTTTGCAGGGAAACTGGAAGGTGTTTTGCTCAGCCTACCTTTTGGTTTAAATGGAGCCAAAGACTTAATAGCTGAAAAAACTGGGATAGGCATGTAGTGATTGTTTCCAAACAAAGCCTCTTTTTTACTATGTTGGGGGGGGGGGAAGGGCATCTGAGCAGCATCTTAGGTGAAATTCCTTGTCTGGAGCAAAGAAGAATGAAGAAAATTAAAACTACTCAAAGTAATTAGTCCAAAAGACCACTAGAATTTCGGCCTCCTACTCCTGAAACAAGCACTACTATCAAGTTCAAGGCTGCCACGACTGACTATGCAGAAAGGGGTTACCCAGAGAAGGTCTTGGATAGAGTGGGGGGAAACAGAGAGCAAATCCCCAAGCTTCAGGCCTTGAGCTGACCTCGCCTCAGGGCACAGTTTTAGGCAAACGATGAACAGGTTTATAGAGTGAATACCAACTAACAAGGTATGCACTCCTGACAACAGTTAACTGTTTGAGACCCAAAGGGCAGCAAATGGCCAGGGACAAAGTTCAGAGGTCAGGAAGATTAAGAAAGGAGAAGAAACAAAAAGGAACACACAGGGATGAGTGATGTTACATTATGGGGATAGTCACCAATAGTAGAAAACAAAAGGAGTATGAACTGTTGAGTAGAAAAGTCATCTTCACCCAATTTAAAATCAAAAGGTACAAAGAAAAGAGCAAATATCTGAGCTACTTTTTCATGAATATTGCATCAACTAGATCATACACAATATGAAGGATTTAGGCTGAGAAGACACTGCCAATGATCTTTTCAGGGCTGTCATTCATTTATGTGACTGAGAGATCTCTGTGATCTCTCAAGGTTTACATCACCCTTTTCCACCTGACCACTTAGCTTTGAGGGAGCTCTGATGGCCTCGTGGTTAAGGAATTGTGCTGCCAACCCAAAGACAGGCAGTTTGAATCTACCAGTTGCTTCGAGGGAGAAAAATGAGCGCTTTCTGTCCACGTGATTTCCAGCCTCAAGAAACCTGCCGAAGAGTCAACCTCAGTTCCAACTGAAGAGCAATGAGGTGAGTTCAAGCAGCAGGTGGTGGAAGGGTCTGGAAGACTCAGTGGCCTGGCGTTGGTCACCTCATGGCATTGGTCCCCTTCAGATTCAAACTGGCTGGAGCTCACCATGGAGGAGAAGCTTAGCTGATCGGGATACAAAGCCAGAAATTGAGGCACCTGGCCATAGTGATGGGGAGGTGGGCTCCATCTAAATGGAGAAGTGAGATTGAAAGGGGAGGCTGGTGCCAGACTTTCTCTGGGGCCTTTTCTCTCTGTGGGTCCCTCCATGAGAGCAGAGTGGCTCTCCCATTGCATCTCTTTGCACAGTGCTGTTACTGTCCTACACTAGGGTTTCAGAGATTTATGTTGGTTGTTGTGACCAATTTGATGGCACAAAACTATAACAACTTAGAGTTTACTTATCTGTGAAAAAACTCCCGCTACTGTCCACTGACCCTCTCAGATGATTCAAACTGACAAATGCCCTAACAGAAATTCAGTATCAGTTTTCCACTCCCTCATTCACACTTTATGGTATCCATTTTCTTCTTCTTCTTTTTTATTTATTTTATTTTTAAAAAAACCCTTAAACTCAAAAGCTGGGTTAGGTTAAGTGACTCCTACATCAAGTATCACTTTTGTCATTCCACAATCCTTATTACCAGGCAGTAAGAGGCAGCTAAGTTCCCAGGGAAGTCAGGTAGATTCGCAGACTATGGAAAGGCTTCTGGGGAAGCCATCTTCATATACTTATCATTACCACGATCCAGGCATGGGACACCTGACATCCATCACCGACCGCCTCCTTTCTATAACGTGACCATTTAGGGGAGACACAGTGGAGTGTGTTACAGCACAAAGGAGGCATTGAAGCACCTGCAGCGTCGAGGGTGCCTCTGACTCAGCAGCGGACAGAAGGTTAAAGGGGAAAGAATGGTACAGAAAGAAAGGCAGGGAAATCGCTACCAACTGCTGATTACCAGCCAGGCACACCCACTGCTGATTTAGATAGCCATCGTCTACAACTCATTCTTTCCTTTTCAAAACATTTAACAGATTGGAAAGAAAAACTCTCTCATCTGGCTGGAAGTGTAGGTCTCTGCTCTTGTACCAAATCTGCTGTCAGTCCTGAGAACTTTAGCTGAAAGGTGGCCCTGGAGGAAGAAGCTGAAGGAGCGGGAATGACTCACCACTCAGCTGCTGGGCGGCGGCCAGGCGGCTGGGCTTCAGGATGAACTGGCACTGCATCTCGCGTGGCAGCTGGTCCATGAGGAACGGCTCCTGCAGATTGGAAGCTGTGGAGGAGTCCTTGGATCCCTGTGCCAGGAGCACCGAGTCTCGAAGATGGCTCATTTTAATGCCGTAAGGATATTCATGTCCTTCAAAGAGAAAAATAAAAATGCAGACTTTAGGCTGACGGGTGGAATCAGATCTGCCAACTGTGACTGCGAGCAGGTGTCTTACATACTAGAATGGACTGCAGTTTGCGCCTGGGAGTTGTGAGATAAAGAATACTTGTACTGACTGATCAGCACGTACATGCTAACAGCTGGAGACCACTGTATAACACAGGTGGCCGCCCTCCCAAAGAAGTTTTCAGCAGAAAAGAAAAAGGACAGAAAATACTAAAAAATGATCTCATTTAGAATGTACAGAAGAACTTTTGGATTCCATAATAATAACTTATGTTTGCATTAAGGGATTGAATGATAGTCTGGTTTCCTTTAACTAGATCTGCAAATCTCCATCACATTTTTGAACCCTCAGAGTCATAATTTAAAATACCATACTGACCACGCAATGTTATTAAGGACCAAATAAGTAAACACAAGTGGTTAGTTGGTGTTAATAGGAAGCCCTGGTGGCTTAGGGTTAAGGAATTTTGCTGCCAATGTGGAGGTACGCAGTTTGAATCCACCAGCTGCTTTGAAGGAGAAAGATGGGCAATGTCTTCCTGTGCAAAATCCTGCTGCAGGTTGCTGCAGGTTCCAACTTGATGTTAAACTACAACAACCGTGCTTAGCACAACAGCTTTGGTGACAGAGCCTGTAGTGTGTTAATTTGCTAGTCAAAAGGCTGCAAGTCTCAGGCAGTTTGAATCCACCAGTGGCTCTGCAAGAGACAGAAGGGCAATCACCTCCTGTTCAGATGTGCAGCACCAGAAACCCAGAGGAAGGCCTAGGAGTTGCAGGTGACTCGATCAGAGTAAGTCTGAGTTTGTTTGAGTAGCTAATACTACTTTTAAATAATGGAGTAAAAAAAGTTCTATGTCAAGAATCACTATTGTTTCCATGATCAAGATGTGACTATTGTTACCATGATATAAGACATTACCTGAAAAATTGATTTCTTTCCTTTTTTATTGTTGTTGTGTAGCATCAAGTCAGAACCGAGCCATAGCTGACCCTCCAGAGCATTTTCAGCAGCAGTTAAATGCACAGAAGCGGACTGCCCAGCCTTCTCCTACAGAGCAGCTGGTGGATTCGAACCACATGCCTTTGGGATTGCACTGCAGTTTCCTTCTTATTAGCTGTGTAATTAGTTAAGCCACAGTACCAGGACAGGTTTGGTTTTCTACCTCCTGCTGCCTCTGAGGTTTGTGTTACCAGCAATAATCAAAGGGCAAACTGCAGAGACACAGAAACAGGCTGGAAAATCCAAGTGGAAAACGAAATTCTAGACACTGAGACACACTGGGAAGATTTCCTCCCTGCCCTCTTTTCATGCTCTAAGGAACTGAATACTCTTAATTTACTCTTCAAAGATCACTGTAGTAAGTATTTAAGATTTTTAAAGCACAAAGAATAAAGTCCTTTTCTGCTAGAAAAGGACTTATTATTAAATGTAACCTGGTGAATTTTTATTTTCCCTTCTGACCTGGAACAGTCACACAATCATACGTCACTAATTTAAGAAGAGCAACTTCCTGGTACATGTAAAAAAAACAAAAAAAAGGTTCAATAACAATAAAGTGAATCATAAATGTATCAGAACAAATTACAACACCACAGTACAACACAGGAGTTCCAATGGCATAGTGTCTTATGTGTGCCAAACTGCCACCCAAAAGCTTGGCAGTGTGAATCCATCAGCTACTCCAAGGGAGAAGGATGGGCAGTCTCCACCATAAAGATGTATGGCCTTGGAAACCTGATGGAAGGTGTCCCCAGGAGTCAGAACTCCCTCACTGGCAGTGACTGTGGTATCTACAACTGAGGAGCCCTGGCAGCTCAGCAGACAGCTCTGGTGGTACAGTGAAGCATGCAGTGCCAACCCAAACACTGAATGATCTGTGTCTCTGATTTGAATCTATCAGTGGTTCCAAGAGGGAGCTCTGGTAGCCTAGTGGCAAGAGGTGGCACTGCAATGCTGAAGGCAGGAGGTTTGAGTCCCACCAGCTGCTCTGTGGGAGAAGGATGGGCAGTCTCCCTCTGTGTGATCAACTGCTTCGGAAAACCTGATGGAGGTTCAGCTATGGGTCGGTTTTGACTTGATGGTACATAACAACAACAGTGGCTCCAAGAGGGAGCTCGCATGGCCTAGTGGTAAGAAGCTGCACTGTAGTGTCGCAAGCAAGTGGTTCAAATCCACCAGCTGCTCCATGGGAGAAATACAGGAATTTCCTCCAGTGCAATTATTGCCTCTGAAAACCTGCTGGAGTGTCAGCTACAGGTCAGTTCCAACTTGATGGTAAACAACAACTACAACAGTGGCTTCAAGGAAGAAAGAAGGGCAGTTTCCTCCTAAATGACCTGGGAAAAGAGTGGCTCCAAATTGGAACTGACTTGATGGTAGTTGACTTAGATGAAGTGGTGCAATGGCTAAGCACTAGCTTCTAGGAGAATGGTCGAGGATTTGGTTTGAACCAATCAGCTGCTATGAAAGGTCTAAGGTTTGGTTTGAACTCACTAGCTGCTTTGCCAAAGACGTGGAAGTCGGCTTCCCTAATGAGTTGTTATTGTTGTTGTAGCCTCCCCATAGCTGACCCTCAGGTGGGTTTTTAGAGGCAGTTAACTGTATAGGAGGAGACTACCCATCCTTCTCCCATGGAGCATCTGGCATATTCGAACCATGTGCCTTTGGGATTGCAGCACAGCTTCTTACCGCTAGGCCACCAGAGCTCCCTCCCTAATGAGCAGAGTCTTCTGCTCTGTCCTAGGCTTGCAATGGATTAGAATTGACTTAAAGGCATATTAAAACAATCAGAGAAGATTTGCTACCAAATATCAATGATGTGTTCCTCCAGCTATTTAGGAATGGGGCTTAATTAAAGCTGTTTTAAGTATAAAAGTTCTCATTTACATGCTGGTTGTTGTTGTGTACTGTTGATTTGGAACTGACCCACAGCTGACCCCTCAACGGGTTTTCAGACACAGTGAATTACTTGAGAGTAGAATGCCTATCTTTCTCCTGCAGAGCAGCTGATAAATTTGAACCATGTGCCTTCGGGTTGGCAGTGCAGCAACTTATCATTAGGCCACCAGAGGTCCCGAACTAAAGCTGTTTCAAGCAAAAATGTTATCATCGACATAGCTGCAATTAAATCAGCATATTTTATTACCACTTTTAAAACACTGACCTGATTTTCAACAAACCTTCATTTTTTGATGATAGACTCTTAATTTACCAGATGGAAAAAAAAACAGAAGTGGTGAATTTGTCATCAGCTCTGTACTTGTTGACATGCTATATCTAAGACTGAAGATACACATTTTGCAGACAAGTTTGATGTCTTTCTCAGATCATTTGAAACATACTGAATTAGAGGAGTAATTATATGAGATAATGCAGGTGATATGCTTTGCACAACGTCTGGCAGATGGTAAGCATTTTTAAATTGGTAAGCCCCCACCACCATCAGCATCTTAAGATCTGCTAGAATAACTTTCTCTTGTTCATTTCTGTCAACCACAGGGAATAAGCTTACTGCTGAAGATGTTTTTCTTCAGTCAAATGACTACCCTTGAGGGAGGTAACCAATTACTCCTCAAGAACACATGCTGGAAATTTGGCTAGAGAAGAAGTAGACAGGCAGCCAGTGAAATAACAGTTATAACAACAGGGAGCTCTGGTGGCCCAGAAGTAAGATTCTGTGCTAGAATCCCGAAGGAACACAGTTTGAATCCATCAGCTAGCTGCTCCAAGGGAGGACGGGCAATCTCCTCCCATGTGATTACTGCCTTTAAAAACCCGCAGAAGGGTGAGCTATGGGTTGGTTCCCACTTGACAGCACAACAACAACAACAATAAGCAGTCAGTTAATCAGAATACATTTAGGAATTGAAACAGGCCAATCTCATTTTCTCTAGGCTGATGTGTTAATTTGATGGATTAAAAAGCATGATTTGATTTCAGATGGTCAGACTTCTCACCCTCCAGTTAACAGCCCAGTGCATAATCCACATGGATTATGCACTGGGCTGTTAACTGGAGGGTGAGAAGTCTGAATCCACCAACTGCTCCTTGCAAGAAAGATGGGCAATCTGCTTCTCTGAGATTTGTTACAGCCTTGGTGACCTGATGGAAGGTCAGACGAATTAGAATAGGACCCTCAGCTGTGGGTTGTTTTTTTCATCGAGATACTATACTATATTAGGTAGGAAAGGGACTGGGAAAGTCAAGAATGGAATATGAAAAACAAATTACATACAGAAAGAAAAGTGATAATGCTTTCATACAGAAAAACAACAATTAAGGCAAGATAACTTTGCAAAAACAAAAAAGCAGAATGGAAAATTTACACTTCTCATCTCAAATACACCATCATTAGATGTTTGAGTGAAGGATATTCTTTCTTTCACACATAAATGTTTAATAATTATTAACAAAATACTTTATGAGATTTAATTTTTTTAATAACATTAAAGTCCAGGACTCTATGACCAATTCTTTTCATTACTTAGAATTACAATTAAAACACAATCAAGTCTAGCTTAGATTTCCCCAGAAACTTACCAATAAGTGGGTATGGTGCTTCTTCTTTTCCAGAATTGACCCACAATTGGTAATCTCTCTCAGATCCCTTGAAGAAAAAGAGTTGCAAGTTACCATTAATTTTTCGTATTCACTATCTAGATGAGAGAATGTATTTTTCCCCCCAACATTTCTATGTGTTGCACACAGTGAAAAAAAGATTACAAATGCTCCTCAGAGGTTCCTGGGGATGGCTATGACTTGTGAAGATAGTCATGCTGACTGTCACCAACCTCGTCTGCTACCAGGAGAACGCTCTTTAATGCTGCCTCTCCTCCCGGCCACTGCTAACGATCCACAAACTGCAACTGAGTAAGATCTTCACTACCTGGATGACCCCCACACTACGAAATCACACAGGTGCCTTTTCACAAAGCGAGAAGACGACATTTCCTGGTTTTCTCAAAGGTCTATCTGTCTGTAACGCTCTGCCTTCTGCTGTGCCTCCAGATTTTCTTTGAGAAGGCTGGACAGAATCACCACCAAGACTCTGCAAAGACTATCTTATCTTCCAGAAAAGCTACAAGTGCTGCTGTGTCTAAGACTGAAGAACGCAGACAGCTAATTATTAGCTCAGCTGCTTTTGAAAAGAAGAAGGAGAATGACCACGAGGCTTTGAGGAGATAGAAGAGAAGATAGGCAGCTGGCACAATATACACTGGCTTAAATCATGGGCAAGTGCAGTCCTGGAGACAGACAAAGCAAGAGTCCTGTCTAAAGAAGAGATCCAGTCATGGGGAAAAAAGGAAACTGTTGACTAGCAGAAATATAATCCAGCAACCCTAAAACTCTCACCTGAAACAGAGGCAATCCCAGAATTATAAGTTCCCTTTCTAACCCAGTATTTAGGTCAGATTTATACATAAACTGGAAAGGTTAAGTATGGATCCTAGCTACCTTCAGTCAGTTACATGCTTGTCTTAAAGAGACATTTCCAGATAAACGAAAATGTCATAAAATGCATAAATAATAATAAAAGTTTTGATGCAGTGTTGTGAGTTGGAACTGACCCATAGCTGACCCTCAGGTGGGTTTTCAGAGGCAATTAATTACACGGGAGGAGACTGCTCATCTTTCTTCCATGGAGCTGCTGGTGGATTTGAACTGTATGCCTTTGGATTGCAGCGCAGCTTCTTGCTACCAGGTCACCAAAGGGCCCTTTGATGCAGTTGCTGTGTGCTGTGGACCAAGAAGTTGGAAGCAACCCACAGCTGATCCTCTGGCAGGTTTTCAGAGGGAGTTAATCACATGAGAGATTGTCCATCCTTCTCCCGTGGAGCAGCTGGTAGACTCGGACCATGTGCCTTGGGGATTGCAGTGTAGCAGTGCCCATTTATTACAAACCATTGCATCTTGCTAGTGTATTTATAGGTGGTGAGACTCAGTGGTCCTTGGGTGGCTGGTAGTGGGCCCTGGTTTGACCTCACACTCTCTGTTGAAGGCTATTCTCCTCCCTCTCAAGCCACAATTATCCTTCCCTTCTGTCCCCAGGAGCCTGTGGGTCACCTCTGGCTGCACAGCATGGGGCTGGGAAATGCGGCTGAGATAAAGCTGGGCTGGACCTGGGGATACGCTGGGTCCAGACTAGGATTTGGGACTTTTGCCTGACTGTGGACAAAGCTAAAGTACTGTCTGGTTGAGAGGTACTGGGAGAAGCAGCTGGTTCTGTGTTTGCAGACTTCTGCTCAGTCCAGATCTCCACCAGCCTACAACAGACCTCGCACTGGTACTGGGGCTGTGCTGGAGCCGATGCCCTGCAGCCCACCTTGCACGCCACGCTGGTTTCCCAGCTTGATTTGAGGTGAGGGTCTTTGAGAACTGGACCTGGTGGGTATACGTGGTGTCTGCTGGCTTCTGATGAATGATAGGGAGTGAAGCCAGAAGAATGTGGAGTGTAGCAAGTTGTCTACCGTTACCTTCCATGAAAGGTCTTGGATGTGTATCCAAGACATACCAGAGCTGCATAGTAACTTAAGGATTTGTATGTTAAGTCTGTACATAAACTGGTCATTTCTAATCCAGGGACTGCCTTTGAAATGAAATTATCCAGACAGACTACAAGCATTAAAGTCTTCAAGGTTCCAAAAAGGGTTTGAAAGCACCAGTTGCTCCAAGGAAGATGATGAGCAATCTCCACCTGTAAGATTTATAGCTTCTCATGCTGGAGGGTCAGCTATGAGTTAGTTCTAACTTGACAACAATGAGTTTGAGAAGATCAGGGTAGGTCTGGTGGCCAACTGCATGTAACAACAGTTACATAGAATAGTCCTTAGGTAGTTGGTGGTGCTAATCCAAAGGTGGTATCGCTGGTCGTTCAAATCCACCAGCAGCTCTGTGGGACGAAGATGGTCAATGAGCTGCTTTGTGACTTTACAGCCTCAGAAACTGGCTGGCGGGTCAGCTAGAAGTAAGTTCTGGCTCCATGGCAAAGAGTTTTTACTTTTTTTGAAGAGAATATAAAACAAACACCAAAGTATGTTTTGGACACAGCTAGAAGAGACTGAGTCAAGCTTATTGGAATATACCCTCAGAATATGAGAATTGAGGCACAAACTGAGATTTATACACCAATGTTCATAGCGGTATTCACTGCAAGAACATGGAAACAGCCCAGATGTCCAACCACAAACGAATGGATTGAGAAATTATGGTATATTCAAACAAAGGAATACTATGCAGCATGCAGGAGCAATGACTATGTAAATTATTACCTAACTTGGGAGGGACTGGAAAGCATTATGCTGCGTGAACTAACTCAGTCACATAAGGATAAATATTGTATAAAACCATTATTGTAGAATGAGTATAAGGATCCAGGAGCAGTGGGAGAGGCTGGAAGCAGAAGGATACGGATGTGAAGGGGAAAAGGGGATTAGTCATTGGGTTGTACAATTTGAAGGGGCGGTGTGAGGGAAACTGAAAGAATTTGTTTAAATTTGTATTTAAATTGTAAATAAACAAGTAGAAATTAAAAAAAAATCTTATAAAAAGAAGAGAAAAAAGACTGCATATGTATATAAAAAATTCATTGCTATCAAATCAGAACAGATTCATAGCTGACCAACCAGTGGGTTTTTGTTGTTGATTGTCGTCCATTCAAACATGACTCAAAGCAACCCTATGAACAAAAGACCTGAGGCCTTTCGATAAACTATCATTTCTCAAAGTTCACAGAGTTTCCAGATGCATGTTGTTTAGGAAGTTGATGCCACTCTCTAAATCGTGCAGGAAGAGACTGCTCACCTTTTTCTCTTGGGTCAGCAGGTAGATTCAAACAACCTACCTTTGGGTTGGCAATGCAACCACCTATCAAATAGGCCACCATAGCCCACTGTATATAGCACATACAGTAAATATACATATTATTATTGCCTTAGAATTATTGTTTTCAATATTTTTAAGGGCAAAACATGACTTTGACATGTGTAGTAATCAGTTTCTTATGAAGAGTGGAAAAGCATTTCGATGAATCTAAAGTATTTATCAAAGTTCACTGTTAAAAATAAGACCACCGAGTATAGTACTTACAGTTATCCCTAGCATTGGTAGTGACATGCTGATAACATCACTTGCTGTATCTGAATTCATTACTGTTATAGTTTTAGACTGTAAGGTAAAAAAAACAACAACAAAAAAACAAAACAAAACGAGAAATACAGTATCAATAAAGCGTTCTTAAAACAGGTAAACAAAAACTTTTGTCAACTTAATACCCAAAGGCAAAATTTGTATTTCAAATATTAACAGAGTAAAGTTGTGGACTAAAGTTGAATACAAACTGCTGATTAGCATTTACTTCTCAAATATTAACACACCTTTCAAGAAACATTTCTTTTTCATTATAAAATTTAAAAAAAAGATATGGCTAACGAAATGAAAGCCAAAAAGATGAAACATGTTTTAGAGGAGTATATCAGCTCTGTATATTTTCATCTCTGTATCTGTATACCATTAAGGGTAATTTAAAAGGGAGATAGTGGAAGAGTTTAGGTTTCTTACTGAATATGGCTTTTATAGTTGAGGCTGTATTTCTTAGCTTAGTAGAAAACATTTCAAGTAAAATCAGAATGTTGTTGTATGCTGCTGAGTGGGAACTGACTCAGAACTGACCCTCCAGCAGGTTTTCAGAGGCCCTAAATCACAGAGGGAGACTGCCCAACCTAGCCTACTCTGTGGAGCAGCTGGTGGAATTGAACTGCGTTCCTCTGTGATTGCAGCACAGCTTCCTACCACTAGGTCTGATTATAAAGGGCATTTAAAGCTTAAAATAAACAGTAACACTATTTATTGGAGATCTTTGTGCCAAGTACAGTGGCTAATCACATTTTTATCAATGAATCTTTAAAGCCTTACGTAAGACCAATGAGTGAGTCCTAAGAAACTGGACTGAAAATTTTTTGCAAATTTAATTTTATCCCCAGTTCTTCCACTTGAGTATCTACCATAGCTCTGTGCCAAAGCTACACTGACAAACTATTACCTAAAAATAGAAAGACAATTTGCAACAAATTTAAAAAGGGGTTAGCAAGGTTTTGAGATATCCATTAAATACTAAATTCCAAGATATTATTTAAGTGTAAGATAATGCTCTGCCATTAAAAGTTTTTTTTTTCTATTACACACATAAGATTTCAAGATGGTCTTATTGAATAAATCAGCAACCAGGCGTGCACCACTTAAAAGACAAGGCTTGTTGCTGAGTGCCATCGAGTCAGTTACAACTCACAGCAACAGTACAGACAGAGCAAGACTGTCGCACAGGGTTTCCGAGGCTGTAACTGTCAGGGAGCCGGCTGGACACCCTTCTGCTGTAGAACAGCCCTTTCTTACCAGAGCCCTTTCAGTCTGCAGCACCATCAGTAATTGTTCTTGTTCGCTGCTGAGTCAGAACTGACCCATAGCTGATTTTCCAAGCAAGTTTTCAGAGGCAATAAATAGCATGGGAGGAGATGGCTCATCCTTCTGCAGAGCAGCTGGTGGGTCTGAATCGTTTCTTACCACTAGGCCACCAGATCTCCCTGCACCACTATGGTGCCAACAACAGCAGCAACAGCAACAAAAACCAACCCACCATACCCAAAGCTGTTGAGTTGATTCCCACTCATGCTGACTCTCTACCAGGTTTGGTGTTTGTTGTTTTTTTTTTTTTTGTGAGTGTACCGTCAAATCAGATCTGACTGGTACAGGAGGAGATTGTCCCTCCTTTTCCCGGCAGAGCATCTGGTGGATTCGAACCGTGAGCCACTGGGATTATAGTTGCAGCTCCTTGCCACTAGGCCACCAGAGCTCCCCTTCTACCAGGTTTTAAGGTCATAAGAAACCTTTATGGGAAGAGACTGCTCTGTCTTGCCCTCTAGGAGTAGCTGGTAGGTCAGAACTATGACGTGGGGGTCAGCAGTCCAATATGGTATGCACTGTGCTACCAGAGCTCCTTAGCACAAATTAGTAGCATAACCAGAAGAAAATGGTATAAAAATAATGCTAACTAAAATCCTGATGATCATTGTTTCACTGCAGTACTGTTCCCTGTGAACCATGACTTGACATAAGGTGACATGAGTGCTTAAGCGCTGGACAGCTAACCAGTTTCTAAATGCCGTTTCTTAAGTAAAGCATATTCACTGACTTTTAAACAGTTCAACGTATGCTATTAAAAGCACACTTCTTGATCTGATCAAATTAACTCGTTTTCTCTAGTAAACTACCAGTCCTTTCTCAAGTGCACTTTCTGTACACAGAAAATAAAAGAAGTACTAAAAAATGACTCAATTTTCCATGAAAATCCTGAACATAACCAACTGCCACAACAACTGAATCAAAGCAGAGAGAAACACAGTGGTTTTGTTTCTTTTCTACAGGAGATTTCTGTGGTCTCATAGCACAAAAATTTGAGTATTTCTCTCTAACAAGAACATCTGGCAATATGGAGCAGGTCAAATCATTTGCATAGCTTTTGATTTTGGCCAAAACATAACTGTTTTGCAGTACAATTTTTCCCCCACATGCGAATAAAACTGTTCTTGTGAGGCAGACCTGCTGTGGAGTATGACAATTCAGAGAGTATGATTAAATAAGACAAGTTTCCATCTTGTTTATCAGGGATAACACCCTGGCTCCTGCACTACAATTTCAGTCATCCAAGTACTCATCATCATAGGGGTTTAAAGACTCAATTTTTGTTTTATTAATATGGTAAATATGGTGAGGTAGTAACAGTCTGGTCTTTTAACATGTTGTCTTTTTCAGGTCAACCATTTACTAACCCAAAAAATCCAATCCCTAAAAACTCAACAGAATGAAGGACTTTGCAAAACTACCCTCCTAAGAAGTGACAATGTGGGGAAAAGCCCTGCTTAATGCTAAAAGGAAATCATTCCTTGTGGAAAGCCTTTTGCAGCCGCCACTGGAGGATCTACAGAAATATTAATACTCTAGAGAAAAGAGACATTTGGCCACTTTCTCTAAGCTTGATCATTAAAAAAATAGTTTCCCCTGGCATTCATAGGAAAATATGGAAAGAGTGTGGTTAAAATGTGCGTACTGTAATTAATATAATAAATTCATATGTATGAATGGTTGAACAGAAAAAAAAGCCACTGTTATTAATATGAGTGTCTTTTGCATCATTTTCTTTAGAGTTTACTTCTCATATATTCAAAGAAAAACATATATACAGAAAAAAGCATTTGCCCAGAACGGTGATTTCTAAATGCACACCTTTCATAGCACATGCAGTCTGTCTGGCTGTATACCTGCTTGCCTCTCTTTTTTTTCCAAGATGTTCTGCCTTATGCAGGGATGTGGAATTTAATTTTCCAGCTTAGAAACACTTACATAGGCACAATTCCCAATGTCCTTGACGAAGATTTTGAGGGGCATGCTCTTCGGGTAGTCCTTCTCTTTCTCTAGATTGATGTATCTAATCAAATACAACAACAACCCAAAACAACACTCAGTCAGATGGATTTGGCTAACAGTTCATTTTAAAATCAATCTATTCTGCTAATAGTTCCAGTAGACTTTTAAGCTATTTTTAAAAATGACCCCAAAGTGAAGAGAAAAGACTTATCAAAGTCATTACATTATGGGTTGGAAAAGAATTTTACAGAAATCTCAGGAATTAAGGTGGGGGCAATAAAAAGAAGGGGACATTCTTGTTAAGTGATGTTTCAACAACACAATCAAGTTAAGGCAACTCTAGGTGATCCCCCGCCCCCCATTCTCTGCCTTCTCTGGATGGGTCCAGCACCTCAGTGATAAGTAGAGCAGTACATATCAGACTTTACTGACTCAAATCAGAACAGTGGCATTTTTCTTCTCATATGGCTGTCTGGTGTAATGCAAATCTCTTCTGCTTACTGACTCAGGAAGGGAAAGGAGAGGAGGGATTATAGAACTAAAAGATGAACATAAATTGACCATTTTTAGTCTGTATGTTCACAGGACCAGACAATAACTGAGTTGTGAAGTACATAGAGAATTCAGCATTTATGGAACTTAATACAGGCTTTGAGGAAATTGCATGCTTCAACTGGAAGGTTAGAGAAAATGCAGATTACTGTCCAATTTCTGTCTAATCTCAACAGACTTCAATGTTCTCCTTCTTAGAGCATAAGAAATACCTGTAAAGAGGTAACATTATTTACAATAAGCAGTGGCTAATGTACAATGTAAACAAGAGCTTATTTTAAGAACAAATGAACAATTTCTACCAAGGAGATGGGAAATAGTACTGGGCATGCCCCTGGAGGGAAGATTTCAATTAGTCCACTACACGTTAAAAATTAAAAATATTTATACTGACAAAATACCTCTGGAGGAGAGAGAGCCATTTGTCCTTTTGTTCTGGAGAACTGCAATCAAAGAAAATAAAAGAAAGAATGAAACTATGTAAAATTCCTATGTGAACGTATTTAAGTCTGTTGTTACTGCTGTGGTTGTACACATATGCTTCAATCTTGGTCTAATAAGAGTTTTGCAGAAACCAGCAGTGAAACTTTCCCATGGCAAAAACTACACAGTGAAGTATACTTTCATCAACTCCTGATGGGTGGTTACAAATAGCCTCATTTTCTTATTTTATTGCTCATTTACAAGTGCCATTATAAGAATGGGAAGTAGATGTCTCTGAGTCTCAAGTTTCCACATCTGTACAAATGGGTTAGTTGTGTATAATTTGGAGCATTTATGCAGCTTTAAGTGACATAAAACAGAAAGTATGATTATTAAGATTAAAGCCTATTTAAGAAACATGTATGGATGGAGATTTATGGACCCAGAAACCAGTCCACAGTTAGGAAAATGAACCTTTATTTCTTTATGCAGACAACAGAAGTATAATTAAGCCAAAGAAAATGTACTCTAGTCACTATAATGCGCTCATTAAGATCAACCCACTTATAGCTAAATTACTATTGATTAATAATTTTTCTTCCTAAGCCACTGCTGCATTTATGTTTTAAAGTTAAAAAATGAAGTTTAGTTTTACATGGTCTTATCACTTACTAGCTTTAAAAATCATATTTTTAATCTCCTCATTAGTTGAAAGCTCTAGTTATTTTCCTGTTCCAGAAAATTAGTTAGTAAATATTTTTAATTTGTTTCTAACTTTGCTGCTTAGCAACTTTCTTCCTTTAGTGTCTTAGTTATCTCCTGCTGCTATAACAGAAATGTCATAAATGGGTGGCTAGCATGAACAGAAAATTTCTCAAGAGTTCAGAATTCGAGGTTCTGGCTCTAGGTAAAGGCTTTCTGTTGGCTCTGGACAAAGGTCCCTGTTGCAAAGCTTCTATCCCTAGGCTACCTTCAAGTCACTCAGTATCAGTTTTTCCCATTTCCACATTCCTAACTCTTTCTTTTTATCTCTTGTAGCTTGTTGTTGTTGTGATTAGTGGCTTGGTGGGACGGAACTGCACAGTCAAGACAATGTTCTGGGGTTTAAATCTCCATGGGAGATAAAAGGTCACTCTCCTCCCATGGATTGAGTGTCTCTGAAAACTTGGAGAGTCAGCTATGGGTTGGTTCCAACTTGATTGAACACAACAATAGATTAACTCAAGACACACCTTGTATTACTCCTGCCTCAATAAACAAAATAACAAAGTTACTCTTTGATGGAATTATAACCATAAGCACGTTGTTGCTGCTAAGTGCTATCAGCTCACAGCTAGCTGGCCCTGTAGTGGGTTTTTAGGAAAACAAACAGATTTGTCCTGGAAAGGGTTAAACTGGGTGGCTCCTTGGAGGCAAGGATTCTGAGGCTCCGTCTAACATACTTTGGACATGTTTTGAGGAGAGACCCGGTCCTTGGAGAGGGACATCATGCTTGGGAGGGTAGAGGGACAGCGCAGGAGGGGAAAGCCCTCTATGAGGTGGATTGATTCAGTGACTGGGATAATTGGGATGGGAGTGTCAGAGACAGTGCGACTGGCACAGGACAGAGCAGAGTTTAGGGCTGTTGTACATAGGGTCGTTACGAGTTGCAAGCGACTCGACGGCACACAACAACAACAACAATAAATCACAAGAGAGGAGACAGCTCATCTTCTTCCCAAGGAGCAATTCGTGGATGAGAACCATTTGCCTTTGGGGCAGAAGCACAATTACAGGCTAGGGTTAGGGTTTATATCACATATTTTGGAGAGATGCAATTCAATACATAGGAATAAGCAACTTCCAAGGTCTGAAAATCATCAGAAAGCACTCTGAATTTTGGATTGCTAACTAAAAGATCAGCAGTTCAAATCCACAAGTACTTTGAGGGAGAAAGCCGGGTGGTCTCCAGTAAAGAGTTATGGCCTCTTGCAGCTGATGAGTTGTGAGTCCATGGTAGTGGTTACATCAAATCTCGCTTTTCTTTAGCAAAATCTCTTGAGAACCACATGACACGCGAGCAACAACCAAAAATTGGTTAAGCTGGGCTTCACAAAAACGAAAAGCTTTTATGCATTAACGATTTATCAAAAAGTGGTAAGGCAACCTATAGAATGGGAGGAAACATTTAGTAAATAAATATCTGATAAAGGCTTAATATATACAGTGTATGAAGGACAATTACTATTCAAAAGCAAAATAGCCTACTTAAGAAATTACCAAAGGACTTGACTAGACTTTTCTCTAAGCACAATACATAAATGATCAAGGAGTACAGGAAAAGATATTTAACGCCATTAGTCATTGTTGGTAGATGCCAACGTTGTGACTCATAGCAACCCTAGAACAACAGACTGAAACCTTGACCCGTCCTGCCCCATCCTCACAATCTCTACCACACTCAAGCCCATTAGTCATTAGGGAAATGAAAATCAAAACCACAAGGAGATACCACTTCACAGCCACTCAGATGGTTGTCAACAGGAAAGCTAAAAGGGGATGTGTACAAATCTTAAGTGTGTGGTGGAATAAAAAAATGAAGCAACCTCTATAGGAAGGAAAAAGTTTCGTATTTCCTTAAAAATCAAAACAGAATTAACAATTCCAATCTCAGTCCTTTAGGGTATGTTACCTGGAAGTAGGAATTCAAACATATATCTGTACATTAGTATGTATTGCAGCATTATTCACTGTAGCTGAAAAGTTGGAAGCAACACATTTCCAACAGATTCATATTCACGAATAATCCAAACTTGATATATTTGTTTACAATGGATTATTCCTCAGACATAAAGAAAACATGTTATGACATGCGCAAACTGAAAATATTATGCTAACTGGAATAAGCCAGACACAAAAGGACAAATATGATTCCACTTTATACAAAATATCTAAAATAGGCACATGGTTTGAGCTGGGGCTAATGTATTAGTAGTTACCAACGAGTAGAGGAAGGGTGGAACAGGAGTTATGGCTAAAGGGATCCTGAGTTTCTGTTTGGCACAATGGAAAATTTTTGGAAATGGATTGTGGTGACGAGCTGCCCAACACAGTTAATAAAATTAAGGTCTAATTTGAAATAGGAGTATTGAAGGTACCATGGACTGCTAGGAAAACAAACAGATTCATCCTGGAAAGGGTTAAACAGGGCAGCTCCCTGGAGGCAAGGATTCTAAGGCTCTGTCTAACATACTTTGGACTTGTTGTGAGGAAGGACCGGTCCTTAGAGAGGGACATTATGCTTGGGAGGGTGGAGGGACAGTGCAGGAGGGGAAGGCCCTCTATGAGGCAGACTGATTCAGTGACTGGGGTAATCAGGATGGGTGTATCAGAGACAGTGCGACTGGCAAAGGACAGAGCAGAGTTTAGGGCTGTTGTACATAGGGTCGCTATGAGTCACAAGCGAATTGATGGCACATAACAACAACAACAATTTAAAATAAAAATTAAGTTATATGCTTAAGGATGGGTTAAAATGGCTCTCTGTGTGGTTGTGTACCCATATATAGAGAGAGCTGTTGTTACATGCCATTATGTCAGAACTCACTCAAAGGTAACACTCCTGTGGGTTTTCAGAGGCTGTTAATCACATGGGGAATATTACTCACCTTCCACCCTTTGAGCAACTGGTGGATTTGAACCATCTACCTTTGTGTAGGTAGCCCAACTCTTTAACACTAGATATATATTAGCATAAAAGTTTTAAAATTAGAAATTTTTCTTAGATTCTTTCAGTGAAAATTTAAAATACCAAGAAAAGCAAGTAAGTCTGTCCTAGAGAAGGTGAAACCAAGTTTCTCCTCAGAGGTTAGAGTTTTAAAGCTCCATCTCACATACTTTGGCATGTGGCCAGGAGGGACCCATCCTTGGAGAAGGACATCATGCTTGGAATGATGGAGCAACAGCACAGGAGAGGAAGACTCCATATGAGATGGCTTGATAAAGTAACTGGGGCAATACAGTAACAGTGAGACTGGCTCAAGACAGGGCAGGCTTCAGAGCTGCTGTGAGTAGGGTCGCTATGGGTCACAGGTGACTCGAAGACACATAACAACGACAACAACAACAATAACAGTATTTTAAAACTTTTTTCCCTGAGGAGTAAGATATATACAGAAAATGGCACAAGGCTTAAGTGTACAACCCAAAGAATTTTAGCAAATTAAACATACTTGTGTAACCAGTACCCACGTAATGAAATAAAACAGCACCTTGGAAGGCATCCTCTTCAGGATTCAAACAATGGAACTCTCCACAGCAATGAGAATGAAAGATCTAAAATTACATGCAGTGACACAGAGAAATTTCACAAACAGGATACTAACTTCAAATAAGTTAGAATAGAAGTTGTTTCTTTTGTGGTTTTTCCACCCCTTCTTGTTTGAGTACTTTATATAAATGTCACCATTACATTTCGTACTGTTTTGCGTCTGGTTTCTTTCACTCAATGTTATGTTTGTAATATTTATCCCTATCACTGCACGCAGTTTTAGATCATTCTCACTGCTGTGTAAGGGTCTATTGTTTGAATATACAGTGCATATTACTTTGAAAAAGAAACAAATTATAAAGTATGTCAGGTTAATTGACGCAGATTGATTTGTGTATGGAGCATCTTGTGATTTCCCCTGCTTTATGCCAGGATCCAGGGCTGCTCTTTTCCTTAGTGATTCTTAACCTCAGACATTTTTTATATAACTAAAACTAGAAGTACTCCAAAGCCAAAAGTTATCTTCTCAGAATCTCAGAAACACCTAGGCCCATTAAGAAATAAGTAAAATGAAAGGAGGAAGCAGTGAGTCTTAGGCAAAGGAAAAAAGGCAAGGTAGGATCAGAGGATGCCCTCAACTTTGGGAGAGGATGAAGGCTTGTGAGCTCTGAGATGGAGTGAGGACCACAGGTCACTGATCTGAGGTGCCCTAAGGAAGTAAAAGAACCAAGAGGGAATTGCTGTGAGCACCAGTGAGGGAGGAAGGCTGAGTGTCCCGCACCAGAGCACAAATATCTGCCTCTACGTGCAGCGGGAAGGCTCTCTATGAGGTGGATTGATTCAGTGACTGGGGTAATCAGGATGGGTGTGTCAGAGGCAGTGCGATTGGCACAGGACAGAGCAGAGTTTAGGGCAGTTGTATATAGGGTCGCTATGAATTGCAGGCGTCTCGACAGCACATAACAACAACAACAACATGCAGCACAGACTCAGACAATTTTCACATAAAGGAGCAACTCTGATATGGGGAAAGGTAACGTCAGCCAAGTAACCACAACAGGCACAACAGCCTCAAAGTCGGAAACCTTTCAGCTCTTCTGGAAGCAACAAAAAAAGTTTTCCAGCACACTAAATTCTGCCCTGAGAAACAAAAAATTTCTCATCAAAGAAGAAATTTCCTACATCAAAGAAGAAATTTCCAACAGCCTGGTGAGAGAGGGTTCTTAAGTTGGGTTTTAATTAAATCAGTAAATGAACTTTTCCTATCTATCTGAGCTTGTGGCTTAAGATTTATATTAGGCACTTAAGGTATTGTGACTATTCATCTAGGAAAGAAGATATCCTAAGGTTTGTGACTCACTATGTGTGCTGTGGTAGAGATAGGATATTCCTTGTGGCCATCAAAAACATTTTTTTTAGATGCACTCATTTACTTGCTTGTCAATGTACAAAAAAAAGCTCCTATCTCTTGTTTGCTCTTGCCTCAGCCAGAATCCGCTAGAAATTCCTCACATACACTGACAGTAAATTCTGATTAGAGGCATCAGAGAATAAGAGCATTTCCAGTGCTCTTTCTTGCTTCAACCCAAATCATTGACAAGCTGGTTTCAACTCATTGTTGTTGATCTGAAACCTATTCATAGCTGACCACCAGCAGGTTTCTAGAGGCAGTGAGCTGCGGATTTGAACTGTGTGCCTTTGGGATTCAGTGAAGCTCTTTACCACTAAGCCATCATAATTCTCTTTATTAAAAGTCTTAAAAAAAAAAACAAACACAAAACTCTGGTAAATGGCATTAAGCTAAGAACCGAGGAGGAGTCGGATGGTAGTAAGAAGCTGCAGAGCAGAAACAAAAGCACTGAGTGCATGCAACAAATAGCAACTCTTTGCAACAGAAAAAAACCTGGGCTTGGGACAATGCCCATCACAATTACCCTGAGTTGACCCTAGCCAACCAAACATTTTTAGAGGGAAAAGACAAATACTCTCATCTATATATTTTCCAACTGCATTTCTGCATAGGAATGAGTCAAGGGAAACAATTTTTCCTGTCTTTGAATCATAAATTTTCTTTTGAATGTCACATCTCTACAGGTATCTGTATAAATTATAGACATAAGATTAAACAGAGTCCCAAAATGTAAAGATAACTTCCCCTTTGCATTTCTTAGCCTGACACCAGCTACTTGTGTGACGTTTATTCTCTGACCTTTCCCACCCAGAGCTCGTAAAGGTAAAGCTAGCTGTTCATTCATGAGGTCTCGCGTCTTTCTCTTTGACTCGCTGCAGCTGAATTGGAACCACCTACTCCCAGCTGACCCTCCTGTAAATCACACACAGGAGGATTCCACTGAGCCACTGGGTGATCTAACCTGCCAGAGGTACAACCTTTGGTTTAGCAGCTTAACTCCTTCAGGCTATACCAACAGACTGTCAAACAGGCAAACACCAGCCTTTCCATTGACTCACTGTCTCAGGAAGGATTTGATTTGTTAGAACAACTCACACCTGCCCACCCAAATCCACAGCCACCGAGTTGACCCCACTCCTGTTCCACGCTCTGCTGTCTTGTCCAGAGAGATCGACTGTAGAGCTGTGCTGTAGATGTTAAGATACCCACTGTGGTGGGCTCGATTTTGACTCACTGAGACTCTCCATGCAGTTTCCAACGTGGTAAATCTTTGAGAAGAGACTTAACCATTTTTCTCCCAAGCAGTGGCTGGTGGACTTGAGCTTCTGATCTCTGGGTTAGTAGCCTAACACATTACACACTACAACTCCTTACTACTCATTTATTTATAATCCCAAAGGATACATACAAGTGAAGAGATGTGGTCTTGAAACAAGGCTTCTGCTGTTCCCAGGACACCCTAATTAACATATGGAGATTCTCCTCAACCCAGGAAGTGTACCCTTCCACTGCACCCCTAAACTTCCACACTGAGGGCTTTTACTGCCTCATAGCAGTTGCTGACTGGGGTCTTCCAGCAGGGTGGGCTGGGTCACTGAGAATAAACCATTGATTCTACTATGCTGCCTTGCCACCCCTTCTCCAAAGCCTGCATCTGCACATGTTCAAGTGTGGCCTGGCTATTTAAGACAACAAAAGGCATCTTGATTAAATGACAAGGCTGAATTTTAGGAAACAGGAAAACAAAGACCAAATCAAGTTCATGTCCCAAAATACCAAAGAAGAAATGGATACAGGTATAAATTTTATTTCTAAAACGAAAAACTATTTCTTTAGAAAATTCTGGAGTATAAATTCATTTTTTCCAACTTACTTGGACTATTTTACCAAATGTGCTTCAGTGATGGGTCTATTTCATCAGCTTAAAAAGACTGGAAAGCTCAGTATGTAAATCAAATACCCGGGCAGAGAGAAGAGGATGTGGGAGGAACCTCACCATTTCTAGTCTCCTTCCCTATGTCCCCAGGTTCCATTCCCCTGGGATGCAAGCACAACACTTTTAAAATAATCAACAAATCAAGACAAGATAAAAGGCTCCATAAATGAAAAGCTCTTAAGGAATACAAGTGTCTTTACTGGGGATATGTGTTTAAAGATGACTGTACACAATCCAAACCAAATTCTGTCCTTTAAAAAAAATTAAGGGAACATTGGATTCATTTTTCCCCCTTTCTGTCTTAGCAATAACACAATTGATCCCATTTTTGCAGAGTATCTAGCTCATGTAATCATAGGAAAAGACGGGTGCTTACCAGAAAGTGGCAACAAAGTTAACTGTGGGCCAGCCCAAGACAAAGGATTTCATGGCACTGGTGTTCCCTTCTCCCACTTCATCCACACAGCCTGCTGTCCACATGTCACTTAACTTGACTTTGTTTTTAATCTTAAAGTTGTTGTTATACCTAGAAAGATAAGAAAACAAACAAGACCTCTTGCTATTTTGTCTCTTAAGCACTTTGGGAACTTTTGTGCTTGTGACAGACAGAAGGAACATTTTCATTAATCAAACACAAAGAATGTCTACTCATTGTTTTATCTTCAGTGTTAGGCAAAAGTAAATCGTAACAGAGTTTTAACATCTTTGCTAAATCAGCCTTGGACCAAGGTGGCCCTGAAAACATTTAGTGAATTAGCCCTTACATTTGCATTTATGACAGCAATGAACCATAAACTGGCTATTTTTCTAAATGTTGAGCACTGCAATTAGACTGAAAATTAACTCGGAGTTTACAGATTTCACAGAAAATTAATTTATTATAATTGTTTGCTCTCAAAAATACTTGAGTAGGTTTAAAATAAAAGTTTAAAATATATAATTATTAAACGATTTATAAAATTTTTTTCTTTGAAAAGAGATGGACTAGAAAATACAATCTGGAATTAATTAGTGGGATTAAGAATACATTTACAACTGTTCGCAAGATTTTTTTACCCTTTAAGAAATCCCTCTCTTATCATCTTGAGTTGTAATAAACTAACAGGCAATCCTCCAGTGGTTTTCAGAGGCTGTGAATTTCATGAGTGATACAGTGGTAAGACGTTGTACTGTCAACTAAAAGGAATGGGGTTTGAATCCACCAGCTGCTCCACAGAAGAAGGATGGGAAATCTCTTCCCAAATGAATAACTGCCTCTGAAAACCACTGGAAATCAGCTGTAAGTTGATTACATTGTAACGGAACAATGGTATGTAACAATAAAATCCCATGAGAGGTGACTGCCCATCCTTCTCCCATGGAAACCTCCTGTCCAAAGATTTTTTTCCTCCCATTTTATCTTGTCTTTTGGCTGAAAGTTTGAAGACTAAGTTGTTTGTGCCTGATTCAGGCATGGTTTTCCCAATCACTTGCTATGCAACTGGAAGTTGGACAATGAGTAAGGACAACCGAAGAACTGATGTTTTTGGGTTGTGATGCTGGAGAAGAGAGACTATCCTGTGGAACGCCAAAAGAACAAAAGATATGTCTTGGAAAAAGTGCAACCAGAGTACTCCTTGGACGGAGGGATGGCGAAACTTCGTCTCACATACATTGGGCATGTTGCTAAGAAAAGCTATTCCTTGGGAAAAAAAAACATCCTGCTTGGAAAGGTGGATTGAAAGAAAAGGAAGATCCTCAAGGAGATGGAGCGAAACAGTGTCTGTGGCTTAACTGTGTAAGAAATGATGAGAATGGTACAGGACGGGACAGGGGTCAGATCTGCTCTTCATAGGGTTGCTATGAGTCATACTTCAATCAGCGGCACTTAACAGAATCTAAAGCTAGAAATGAAAAGAGGGGAAAAAAATGAGGCCAGAAAATATATTTAAGTTGAGCTGACACACATTTTCATCTCTGGGGACCCAGAAAGTGAATGTACTTTAAGTTAGCAGTGAAATTGCTTTTTTTGACAATTTCTATCTTAGCCCCCTTAGACCTTTGATAATGAAACCACCAAATCTTTTGACCTGAATAATTCTCATGTTGGACTTGAGACTTTAAAGTTTCAAGATAAAGAAAATGCCTAGGGGATCTTGGGTGCTTCCTATAATTCAGGACCATTTGTGGAAACATGACACATGTTCACAGAAATGAAATAAAAAACATCAAGTACAGAAATATCCCTAAAACTCCTCTGATTCATTGGACATTTAAAACTACAACTTCAATGGGATTTGTGATATTAAAAAGGATTTTGCAGGAAGTATTACTAAAGAATAATCTAGATTAAAAAACTTCATTTATGTTTCCCAGAAGGGCACACTAAAATTTTTATTTTTCATTTTTATTGTGCTTCGGACAAAGTTTACCTGGCAAATTTGTTTCCCTTATGACAGTATGTACACAAAGTGTCCCAAGACATTGGCTTCACTGGTGGATGACACGTCAGCATGCTCTCTATTTATACTTTAGTTTCTTTTCCTTTGGATTTTTTACCCCTTTCTGTTTCATCTTTGCTTCTGGACAAATGTCCTTTTGATCTCATATAATTGATTGTTCTAAAGAACATCTTCTTCTTGTGTGTGACTGTTTACTTCAAGAGCATGTCTGAAAGGAGGTATCCCAGAACAGCTTCAGTTTCAGGCCAGTAGGGTATCACAGGGATGCAGTATTGGGGGATCCTTCAGTTTCTGTCAAGATTGTTAAGTCTGTGTTTTGTTTGTGTGTACACTTCCATGTGTCTATTAATGTGGTATTTTATTCAACATTTTTCTCCCCTTCTCTCTCTGGAACCCTCTGCTGCGATCCCAGTCGAAGCAGTCAATAGTTTTGTAGTTATCAAGTGCCGACCAGTGTCAAGCACAACTCACAGCAACCCTATGAGCAAGAGACTTGAACCCTGTCCTGTCCTGAGCCATCCTCATCATCTCTGACACTCTTGAGCCCACTGAATTGGATATGATGGGATATCAGCTGATATGTTTCGACAAACAGAGAGCTGGATATGCTCATCAGGCTATGCCAAGAGATTTAGAAATCAGCTGCATGGCCAACTGATTGGATGAAAGCCATATCTATTTCTCATTCCAAAAAAAGGTAATCCAATAAAACGTGGTATTATTGAAAAATATCATTAATATCACATGAAAGCAAAATACTGTAGAAAATAACTCAAAACGGCTAGAAGAAGGAATTGTCAGTTGTTCAAGCTGGATTTAAAAGAGGTTATGGCACCAGAGATATCACTGCTATGTCATATGGATCTTGGTTGAAAGTAGAAAATACTAGAAGGATGTCTACTTGTTGACTATGCAAAGGCATTTGACTGTGTGGATCATAACAAATTATGGGTACCACTGAGGAGAACGGGAATATCAGAACACCTAAGTGTGCTCATGCAGCACCTATACCTACGATCTGAAGAGAACAAGGGTTTAAAAACAAGAAAGGTGTGTCCATCAGGGAGGTATCATTTCCCCACACCTAATCAAATGGTATGCTGAGCAAATAATTTGAGAAGTTGAACTCAATGGAGAAAAACACAGCATCAAGACTGGAGGAAGACTCATCAGTTACCTGTTTTAAGCAAAGGATACAACCTTGCATGCTGTAACTTAGGAGGTCTTGAAACAATTGCTTCAGTAGATTCAAGACAACAGCAATCCTTCAGTACGGATTACATCTCACTATCAAGATGACAAAAATTATGACCGTTGAGCCAACAGGCAACATTATGATAGATGGAGAAATGACTGAAATTGTTGAAGATTTCTTCGGCTTGGATGCACAATCAATACCCTTGGTACCAACAGTCAAGATTTCTCAAAAGACGTGCTACATTGGAAACACGTGCTGCCAAGGGCCTCTCCAAAATGTGAAGAAGCAATGATTTAAGCTTAAAGACTAAGGTCAGCCTGACTAAAGCCATGGTATTTTCAATTACTGTGTATGTGAAAGTTGGACAATGACTATAGATGACAGAAGATGAACTGATGCCTTTGAGTTGTGGTGATGAAGAAGAGTACCGATACCACAAGAATTGCCAAAGGACCTGTAACCAGGGTGCTCCTTGGAGGCAAGGATGGTGAAACTTGGCAACGTGGGTGCTCCTTGGAGGCACAACCAGGGCGCTCCTTTGAGGCAAGGATGGTGAAAACTTCACCTCACATACTGTGGGTATGTTGTGAGAGGGGCCATTTGTTGCTTAATGATATCATTCTTGGAAAGGTGGAGGGACAGTGAAAGGGAGGAAGACTCTCAACAAGATGGACTGACACCGTGACTGTAACAATGGCCCTGGTACATCAGAGATGATGCGGATGCCAAACAATAGAGGCAGGCTGAGATCCACTGTTCACAGAGTTGCTATAGTCAACTTGATGGCACCTAAGAACAGCAACAACAATGGCTAATGATCCCAACAGTTCTTCATTTGTTTCTCAGTTACCTGAATATCTTCTTCATTGAAATATCTATTCCTATCCTTCGCTCATTTTTAAATTGGACCATTTGTCTTTTTGTTCTTGAAGCGTTGAGTTTTTAAATACATTTTACAGATTAAACTTGAATTGGACCTGTCATACCCAAACGTTTTCCCCAATCCAGAGGTCTTTTTCACTCCATTGGTGAATTCTTTTGATGTACATGTTTAATTTTTAACAAGTATCATCTATCTAGGTTATTTCCTGCTGTCTGTATACTGTTTATGTCTAATAGTCTATTTATGCTATATATAGAAATAGTCCCTAGCCTTATCTATTTTCTCTTCCATGATCTCTTTGTTTTAGATTTTATACAGGTGTTCAACGAATTTTGAGTCAGTTTTTCTATTAGGTGTGTAGTATGGGTTTTGTCTCATTTTTCTACAGACTGATCTCCAGTTCTGCCAACATCAGTTGTTAAAGACAAAATATTTTCCTTATTTAATAGATGTTGGGTCTTTGTCAAAGATCAGCTGCTCTTATTGCTGTTGCCACTGTTAGGTGCCATTAAGTCGAATACGACTTCTAACAACCCCATGAACATCAGATCAGAGCCCTGGCCCATCCTGTGCCATCCTCATCATCTCTGCCACAGTATAGATGCTACAGTCACTGTGTCAATCCGTCTTAGTTAGGGTCCTCTCCTTCTCTGCTCAACCTCCACTTTTCCAAGCATGATGTCTTTCTTCAAGAATTTCCCTCTTTCAACAACATGCCCAAACTATGTGAGATGAAGTTTCACTAAGGAGCATCCAAACAAGACATCTGTTTGTTCTCCTGGTTGTCGGTGGGCTATTTAGAGCTCTTCTACAGCACCACAACTCAAAGGCATTGGTTGGTTCTTCTTCTGTCATCTTTATTCCTTATCAATCTCTCAGAAGCTTGGCAAGTAATTGAAAAGACCATGACTTGGAGCAGGTGCAGCTTTGTCTTTCACATGATATTTAATCTAAGTAAGGTGAAATCATTGACAAATTCTATCCTTTCTCCATTTACCATTATG